CCGTGTTACCAAGGCGACCGATGCTTTCGTGGTTTTGCATTATGGGAAATGAAGTTTTAACTGCTACTTCGACAGCATCGGCAGTAATGATTGATTGCCTGTTGTTATTAACATGTTTTTTTTGTTTCTCAGTAAAAACAGTTCAAATCCCCAGAGAAAGAGTTTGGGCTGCCACAGTGTTTTCGATATTTTCTTCTATTCATAACTTTGTGAGAATCATTTTCACAGTGATGTTTCGCACTGCTGAATTAGAAGATGGGCACTTTGCTTACTGCCTTGTCTTTTTCACACCCGAAGAAGGCTCCACAGCCGAAACGTTGTGTTTTCTTTCTTCTTTTTTCCCCCAGCTTGGAATAAACCTATTACTTGTTCCTTTGCCGCCTACCCACCTGAACTGTTCTTTCCACTCCCGAAATCTGTTCAAAATCAATTCAAATAATCAAAAATGTCATTTCAATTATAGGTCTATCTGAATAAAGTAAAAAAAAAATAACTGTATTTGTTTACTGATGAATTGATTACATCTTGGAGGCCCAGTTCAGATGATAAACTGTCTGTCCTCTTTACATTCGCCCCTGGCGATTCTATGTATCGGAGAAGACTTCGACTCAGAAAAGGGCCTTGCGAATGTGTAGTTTACATCGCGAACAGCTCGAGAAACATTCAAAACAAGCGCCCTACAACCGCCCCACGCCTGTTTCTGCAAGGTTAGAAAGAAGGTGTGGATGGAGAAAGGAGGTGTTATCCCTGGTCTGCGCAGATTAAAGCACCCCACGGTCACTGTATTTGCGAGCACCACTCTTCAATTGCGCCGCGTCCAGGAATGAAACTGCTGAGGCGACGGACGGGCCAAAATAAATAAATAAAAAAAATAAATCAAGACAAAAAAAAAACACCACCATTCAAAATGTGTTTACACGTCTTTAATGAGGCTGGCTGGAAATGAGAATCCTCCAGGGAAGGGCGCAGAGAGCATCCCCCCCTGGCCGCCTGCCTCTGTAGCACCAGTCTAGGAGGTATCAATGTTTTATTAGATGACACTGGAAGCCTGCGCGCATGTAGTGGGCAGCGCTGGAGAGAAACCGCAATCGCCTCCAGTTCGTCTCCACTCGGCGCTGTTATCACAGACGCGGACTCGACACGCAGGGGTTGCGTGGGGGGCGTGACGGCGGCTCCTTCTTCTCCTCGTCTTCTGGCTTCACCCTCCTTCGCTGCTCGGCAGCCCGTCTGGACCCGGACCCGGAGCCGGAGCCGAATCGGACCGGGGCAGCTCGCCCATCATGACGGGAAGGCGGCGAGGGGTACCGAGAGGACGGCACCCGCCTCTCTCTTCGTGTGCGTCGCTGCTCGTCCTCGCTGCGCTCTGCCGGAGCATCGGGGGGCTGGAGAATCACAACAACCCGGTCGCACCCGCGGCTAAAGGAGCCGAATTCAATCGGATCTACTCCGGCTTTGTGAACCGGGAAGTGGAGGAGATTTATACCTTTAACTACAGCACAAAGCCCGGCGAGGTGAGAACGGGTTCCTCCTGTTATCTGCTTCACATCTATCCTTATCCTAATGCCACGCAGCTGCTTTTAGGTACAGAATTCAAGTGCGTGTTTTGTTTTTGTTTTTTGCGTGTGGCTTGATAAGGTGCATCTTTGCTGGGCTTAGCGAACTAAATATTGCACCCCCCAGATTTGCTATTAGAAATAACTTTGCTTTAA